GTAGGGTTTTTCGAAATATTGATTAGGAACAAAATGGCGGACATTTTCCTGAAAAAGTACGATTTTCACCTAAAAATCACTCTTTGATCAATTAAAAAAAAAAGTATGGAACGAAAAAAAAATCCTTCGTTCAAGGACAAGTTTTCCTGTTTTAAAAAAAAAGCGCAAAAGGTTTCATGTAAATCGACACAGTAGTTTTCGAGAAATATTGATCACCGATTTGAAAAATGTAGTTTCGAGAAAAACGCGTTTAAAAAGTTTCAAGTCAAGCTTACACTTATATAAAATGTTCATTTTTCAACGCCTATAACTCTGTCATTTTTAATTGGATTACCTTGAAATTTACGCAGACTATTCTCTCGATGATGTACTTAAAGAAAATGTAGAAAGTGAAAAATCGATTTTTCGAAAATTTCTGCCATGACCCCTTAATAAAGCGTCATAGTGTTTCAGATGTACTATAAACCTGTTATCGAATGTTTGAAAAGTATCAATTCTTTTTCTAGATATCGTTCCAACGCTCTTGTGAAACAGACTGTATATTAGTTGGATACAGCGTGTATATCTTTCTTCAGCCTGTTATCGTTCTATAAACGGCGGCGTGTTTAAAGTTTCGAGAACGGAAAACTTTCCGGGTAGTTGGTATCGAACGGAAGCAATTTGTGTATTCGCAAGAGAACGAACCTTCGATGTTATGTATACCCACATTGGCGATCCTCCTGCTGTCTTCGTTTTTGTCGACGACCAGATCGACGATTTTCATTCCCCTTCTCCCTCCCCCCCCTTATTCCAGTTTCTCCATCGAAAGAAACAGATTTTCCAAATAGAAACATCGTTCGTCTCTGTGATACGTGCAGGTGGTGGTGGTGTAGGCGCATTAATAATGTAAGTGTGCAGATGGTGTGCAGTGAGTGCGCGGTGGCGCTGACTAGGATCAATGTTCCGTTCGCGATCTATATAGTATATGGAGTACAGTGTATGTAACGACAACCGGCTGTATGAGAAACAACACCGTTACACAGGCTATTTCCACGGAATATATTTGCAAATATTTTGATCACGGAATAGAATGTGTGCACACGTGGAAACCGAGCAAAGTTACCGCAGCTCTGATTCAGATTGCGTATTCAGTGAATTTGTTTTAAGTGTAATTCGCGGAAAATATAGATTGATGGTCGGTAAAAGAAAAATCGTGAAATCGATATTTGTTTGTTTTTTTTTTTTTTAAATCCCGCAAACTAGAAATAAACTAATACCCGTGTTATTGCTAATTGTATCTGTAGACAAAGTGAATCGCATACTTTTCTCTGTTTTTATCGTGACGACATAGTTTTAAAGGTTCTTCGAAGCGATAATATTAATATTGGAAACAATTTCGATTGGTTCACCGAGAAGAAATATGATAACGGTGGACAAGCTTTGTGGCGTACCCTGTAGATTTTGCAATTATTGTTATGTAATTGCGTTAACACTAGCGCTACCGACGATAAACGATATGTATTTCTAACAGGTTAATAAACATGAGAAACTTTTGAAAATATACAAATTTCTAAAGCAATTTCTTGTAACATTTTGAATTGTCATTATAAAACTGTACTAACCGGTCAGTTCGAGTGTTTTGGTCTAGTGGTAAATTTGGAAACAACAATTTTAATCGATTCTCCAAACAGAAATGTAATAACAACGGTGGATAAGCTTTGTGGCGTACCCTGTATAGTTTAAAATTATTATTATTAGATAGCGGATTTATATGCAAAATCACATTTTAGAAAGTTGTTCATAAAGACAAAAACAAAAGTATAAATTTCTTTCTTTAAGTATCTTATTAGGCTCAAAAGAAAATAGAAAACTCGTTGCATCTGACGAAAGTTTCGCCCTTCATTGTATTTCACAGAGACCTATAGGCTATAAATGCATAAAATCTAGAGTCTAATTATTATGTAATTGCATTAAGACTAGTACTACCGACGATAAACGATATGTATTTCAAACAGATTAATAAACATGAGAAACTTTTGAAAATATACGAATTTCAATATCAATTTCTTCACTTTCATATTGCAATGAAAGTTGTAAAAGATCTGGGAAATTGCATTGTTGTAACATTTTGAATCATTATTATAAAAGTGTGCTAACCGGTCAGTTTGAGTGCTTTGGTCTAGTAGTAAATTCGGAAGCAACAATTATGATCGATTCTTCAAGGAGAAATGTAATAACAATGGTGGACAAGCTTTTGTGGTGTAACATGCGTATTTGTCAATCGATTGTTCACATTGTAATTTCTAAGCGAATTCGAGGATATGAGTGTAAATCAGGTACACGATTCGCAAGGTGTATAATAATAACGTATTTTATAAATTTATTCACATGATTTAAATAAATCAAGTATACAGTTAAGTTCGCGACGCATGCGCGGAATCGCGTGTGCGTGGATTGCACACGGTGGTGTCGCGGGCGCATGACTCTCTGTGTTCCGTTCTTTTTTTTCGTTTCTCACTCTTAATTACCAACTTTTTTTTTTTTTCTTGCTCTTCTTTCGTATCATTCCGGTTCTTACGCGACGAATAATTATCTTACATGAGGCGACGTCTCGAGATATACATATTTACATATCGTACAATATTCCGTTGGACATATAAAATTACAAAAAGGTCACTCTACCTAGTCGAGAATTCAAAAATCGAAGCTAAAACTCTCTAAGCAGCGCGAACGGCCGTTCACACGTCCGAATCAACGTGTATTCGCCGTTGCTTTCTGTTTCGTATCATAGATAATATATAATATGTACAATGTGCATACGTACACGTACGCTGACAACGCGTACACAGCTTGCGCAGCCCTATTTACATATTGCGTTTATTCCATTCTTTATTTCTTTTTTTTTTTTTTCGTATAATAAATATGTACACACGCGCGCGTGGGGGAAATAGATCGGCGTTTCGAGACGATTTCCCGGCGATTCCGTGCGAAAAGAGACGGCTTGTTTATACTTAATTGTTCGGTGGAAAAGTCGTCAAGCGAATTGGGAGAGAAAAAAAGAGAGAGAGAGAGAGAGAGAGAGAGAGAGGGGGAATAGAAGAGTCCCAGTCGAACTAGGTACTCGCGAGACACCATTCAGAAATTCACATAGTACAGTTTCTGCGCGCGCAATCTGTTCCCGAAGAGAAACAGATGGAGCGAGAGAGAAGGGTGGAGGTTGAGGTTCTGATATCCAGGAAACAAGAGAAAGATGAAAGACAACGGAAAGAAAGGGAAGAGGGTTAGAATCATAGAGAGAGAACACGAGGGAGAGGGCGGAAAAAAAAGGAAATGGCAGGAGTGGAAAAGTGGACAATCACGCTTTTACCGATGAAACAAAGCGAGAGTGAACGTATTTCCACGGGGAAGAAAAAGGAACGTCACGACAAACAAATATTTCCATAGTGGTTCGTGGGTAGGTGCCTCGCCTAATCGAGGTGTTTCATCGTGGAAATACCGTTCCATCAAACGGAAAAGCTGTATAACATGGCGAAAGCTCGATAATCTCGAAGAGGTATATACCGAACAACTCGAAATCCCCTGTGTCTACCTCGTAACCTTCGATACTCGACACACGAAATATGCAATCGAAAATATATATATCGTTCATTTATCAACTATCCAAGGTTATCGGAGTGATCATGTACAGGAGGAAGAAGCCTGAAAATATTTGCGATCGCGAAGTATACAGTGGGGAAAATTGCCGAATTTGAACCACTATTGTAATTTGTCATGTGCAAGCAATTTGCGCTGTATGATAGACAATGTGTGTTGGTTATATAGTAACAAGCTAGTTAATGAAATCACCACTATTATACACGTATTTTCTGTCATACAGCGCAATTTGCTTATATGTAACAAGTTACAGTAGTGATCCAACCTAGACGATGATACAAATTCATCAACCTTTACCTAAATGTATATAGGATGGACCACGAAACGTGAATTATCTAACATTATTCTACTGTCATAAATAGAACTATTTTTGTAAGGTAACTATTTATAAGATTATTGTACGTCATAAATATCTAAGCAATCGTTTCTTAACCGTTCACATGTGTATTGAAGCTGATGGGCACTACTTTGAACATCGTTTTAAGTAACATTAATGATATTTTCTTAATATTTGGTTTAGAAAAAAAAAAATGATTTCTTATGATGCTTCCCAAATTCATCTTACCTAGATACTGTTAAAAGACGGACGTAAAAAAATGACAGGTTTATCTATAAAAAAAAACTGAAGGTCTTCTTGAAAACCCTGGATAAAAAAGGGTGGACGCAAAATTCGGTACAATCATCTTAAAGCTTTCCTTGAATCATGTTATACTAGCCAAACAATTTTCGATCCAACAGCTAGTAGTAGAACAGACCTGGTCATTTCTGAAATGATATCATTTGAAATCTTATTTCAAACAACATGTTATTTTATTTCATAATTATTTCCTTGCCTGTGATCACGTCTGAAATAACATTATTTGAAATATCACTTCAAATAACATGTTATTTTATTTTTTAATCGTTTGAAATAATTCTTAGAAATAATTGTGAAATTGTTCTTCAAAATTATATCATGTGACTAGGTCGGAGTTTGGTTTATCGATATTTTTCTGAAGAGTAACACCCCTCTTCCAACTTCCACGCCAGTGGAACGATTATTTTCTTTCGCGACAATATTAGACGCACGCTGATTCTGCTTAAATCAAATTGCTGTAAAGATTTCTTAAAATAAAATCGTTTCGTTCCATATTATTCTGCGTATTATTTCTTTCGTCAAATTTGAAATACAAAAATAACAAAATAATACATTATTTGAACTTGCTATTATTTCAAACGAACCGATAATATTTTTATTTTCCTAACAGTATCGAAAGTAAAGTTCCGAACGAAATTACTTCGAATAGGTATTTCTTATTTTCATTTCAAATAAAGCTTGCCCAGGTCTGCAGTAGAATAATCTAAGCCGACCCACGTCTCGTGGTCCACCCAGTACAATACCAATCCGTCCCCCTCGGTTCGCGCGCACGGACCGCGAAAAGCGAGAGAAAAGCTGTTTCTATTTTTCGTTTTGTCGATCGAGAAGTGTATCACAAGCAGAGGAGAAGAAGACAATTCGCGCGGAGCTAGACGAGATACGCCTGGCCGGACGATGGCGGCGGCGGCGGCGGCGGTGGTTGTTGCTGTCTCCAGGCGGTTCGCTCCAATGTCGAATAATCCGAGTCGATGGACGAGTATATGTGCTCGGACAGCGGTCTCCTGTGATCCTCGCTGCTGCCGCTGCACACGGTCGTGTTCGCGGCGATGAGATTGCTACCTGGTACAGTGACCGCATCCCGGTAGGCGTGATTGACGGTCAGCCTGGGCTGCGGGGACGACGGCGGCGGTTGATGTTGCGGCATCGAGACCGTGCCGCAGGAATAGGCGGGCGGCGGCGCGTGTTGTAACATCAACGCGGTCGTTGGCGACGAGTCTTTGAAGAAAGACCTTTGTCTCTCCTGCGCCCGTAGGGTCGACATCGTTGTTTTCTCACTGCCAACGCCGTCCAGCGTGTACGTATTAATGTTCCGTTTGTAAACGAGCGGCGAGGATTTGCTCTCCATCGATATGTCACCCATATTCGCGGGCGGTATCGCGTACCGAAGACGTTCCCAGAACCTCTTCTCCCCCCACGTGAGTATCGCCGCGGCTGTACGTAAATACGGCCGCAGTTCAGGATCCCGTTCCACGATCTCCGGACACGCCTGACCAGCCTGGATGACGATCAATTGGGTAGCACGACCGCGAAGTGCCTCGTGTAACGCCGCGCGGAACTCGAAACGGGACCATTCCGTTTGCAAGAAATTACGGGTCAGAACGATTAACACGCGCCTAGAAGCGTCGACCGCCTCGAGAACGACCGGCGCCGGAGCGGAAGCACGCAGTACACAGGGCAGATCACGATGATGCAGACACAATCTCAGTCCCGCGGCGCCGTGTTCGAGCTCCACCGCCAACGAGTGGAGCACGAAATTCTCGTCGCCGGGGCTGTAACAAACGTAACAATCGTATAGACGTTCGCGATCGCCGTCGCAGCACGCGGTCATCGGCGCCGCCGAGGGGATCGTTGTTGTACCGGTCGATTTTCCTGGTTTCGTGCGCAAGAAACGTAATCCGTACTTCGAGTACGCCCAGGCGCCGACCGGTTCACGGAATATAAACACTAAGACTATGATCACCAACAATACCAGAACCGCGGACAACGTGGCAGCGACTAACGGTAAATAATCGGAAACCATGATGCTCTCTATTACGCCACCTTGCGAAAAGTAATCGGAACAGACGGTCTCGTTGACGTTCAAACGACGCCTATAGGCTGATCTCGCGTCACCCCCGTAATAACACCAAACGTCGCTCGCATCGATGACTTTGTGCGCGTTGTCCGAGACCCACGAAGACAATTCCTGAAGGAATTTACAACGACAGGACCATGGATTGCTACCCAACGAAAGCTCGACGAGACGAGCGTTTAGAGTGACCTGCCACACCGGGAACGTTACCAGTCGGTTGCCGCTCAATCGCAATATCTCCAGGGAACGTAACGGCAAGAACGTTAGGTTACCGATAAATCCTATCACATTATTCTGCAGATAAAGCTCGCGCAGATGCGAAAGTCGCTCGAACTCGAAACCCTTTAACTCTCGTATCCTATTGTCCTCTAGATGAAGAATCTGTAGATTGTTCAAACCGTTGAACGTACGGTTTTGTATAGACTCGATGCCGCTCGCGTTCACGTAAAGCACACGCATATTTTTCCGTCCGATGAACACATGATTTTGCAACTCGCGTAACACGTTACCGTCCAGATAGACCTCGGTCGCGTCCATCGGTATACGCCGTGGTATCTCCTCCACACCCATCCCGGAACAATCCACCGCGTTCGTGTTCCATGTACGATCGTTGTAGCACTTGCAGCCGGCCGGGCAGGTCATCTCGCAGTCGCACGCGTCGAAATCACAGCAATGACATAGGGCGAAACAATGGGCCTCGTAACGGCATAGAAATTGTTCCGATCTGGCCGTTGACGCGGGTATTATGGCAACACCACGTGGACCGGATGTACGACACATCACATTGTCCAGATCCATGATCCGGGGATATTCTCTGGTCGACGTTTGATTGTTGATCGCCGGCAGCCAGTCCATCGAACAGTTGCAGTTGAACGGATTCCCGCCGATGTAAAACTCCGGCAAAGGTCGATCCTCCGGGACTTTGGTCAGTAGCAACGAGGTCAATTCCATGGTCTCGATCAGATTCGCGTACATATCGACCCTGGTCAAGTTCACCTTATCGGCGAAGGTGTTTGGTCGTACGACGCTGATGTAATTGTTGTTTATGAAGAGCAACTCAACGCTGTCCGGGACGGACAACGGCGACAGCTCTGTGATCCGATTGTGACTGGCGTCCAAGGTTTTCACTTTCGAATCACGAATCTCGTAGTAGTTGCCGAGATTCTCAATGAAATTCCCATGTATGTCCAACCATTTCAAGTTACCAGGTATGAAAGCGTAATCGAACCACTCGATATGATTCTCGGACAGATTCAGCAACAGCAGGCTTGCTATGCTGGTGAAGACACCGTTTATGTTCGACAGAAAGTTCCCGTCCAATCGTATCGCTTCGAGCCGTACGTTCCGTTCGAACGCGTGCATCTCGACGTGTTGGACCTTGTTCCTGGCGAGATTCAAGATCTGCAGATTCGGCAGATCCCAGAGCATACCGCGCGACAGATTACCGATATCGTTGCCGATCAATCGCAGGCCGGTTAACTGATGAAGATTACGGAACGAGCCATTGTGAAAATCGTTGATCCGGTTCTCGCCGAGGTCGAGGGTTTTCAAGAAAGTGAGGTCGCGTAACGCGTCGGGCACCGCCGTGAGCTCGTTACCGCTCAGATCCAGTTCCTTCAAATCGGAACAGTTGCGAAACGCGAGCGGGTCGATGCTCGCGATAGTGTTGCCGGACAACGTCAGCCGGTTTAGTACGAACAGACCGTTGAATAGTTGCGCTCCCACGGTGTGAAGCTTGTTCTCGGACAGCTCGAGGGTGTGTAGATTGTAGAGCGGCAAAAAGGCGTTGCTCTCGATCCGATCGATCGAGTTATTCCGTAGATCGAGAATCTGCAGGAAGAATAGATCCTTGAACATACGGGCGTCGATGTGCGTCAACAGATTGTACGATAGGTCTAGTACGATCAGACGTATCAGACCGAGAAACGTGGTCTCGTCCACTTGGTCGCTGCCCAGCCGATTGCCGGCCAGATTCAGCACGAGCAGCTGCTCCAGCCGAGTGAATATACCCTTCGGCAGGTCGCGGAGGCCGTTGTACGCCAGGTGTATTTCTCGAAGGTCCCGCGTGCTGGCGAACAACCCTTCGGGCAACGAGTCCAAGGAATTATAACTCGCGTTGAAGGTACGAAGCACGGTCAGCCCGGTGAGCGCGTCACTGGCAATTTCCTCGATCGCGTTCCGTTGCAGGTGCAGCTCGTGTAACTGTCGCAGTCCAACCAGCGGGCTGTTCTCCGGCAACCGTGTCAGTTCGTTCCGCGACAAGTCCAAAATCCGTATATCGGCCCGACACGATTCACCGTCGTTGTTCTGGTCGTGCGTCGGTAGATCCCGACGATTCAATCCGATATCGTTCGTGTCGTGGAAACGGTTCCCGGTCAGATTCAACGTCTGAAGATTATCTAGCCCGCACAGAAGATTCACTGGAAGCGCTTGCAGGTTGCTCTCGACGATCTCCAAGGTGTGCAGTTCCCGTAAACCGAGAAACGAGCTCGGCGCGAACTCGAGAACACGGCCGGCAGCCCACGCGGAATTGAACGTCTGGATGGTCAGTCGTTTCAACTCCAGTAACGGTTGAAAAGCGCCGTCCGGCACACGCAATACTTTGCAACCGTGCACGTGTAACTCGTGCAAACTGGACAACCGTTGCCAGCTTTGCGCGTTGAAGCTGCTCTCGAAATGATGGACGTCGCTGCACCGTATCCGTAACTTGAGGGCACCGTCGAGGGACGGTACGAGGCTGGTGATCGCGCCGGGATCCAATACTCGGAGGGTGCAGTCCGCGGAACGGGTCTCGTTACCACCCTCGGACAACCACTTGCAAGAGGCTCCGGCCGATTCCGAGAGTATGGTCGATGCGAGGCAGAGAAAAGCCGCGTTCACCAGCGTCATAAAAATATACTTCGCTGTCATCTTGGGATCGTCGCAGGAGGGGGATGGTTACGCGGCTCTTTGGCGCTTCTTCTTTCTTTTTTTTCGGGAGGTGTTAGGCTTCGCAATCTCGTAGCACTTTTGGGATACAGGGATACTATTTCGCACCCTCGCTCACCCCTTCCTCACGGACACACTCGTCGCACAGCGATGCCACACGCACGCACATACACACGCGAACGAGTGCGAGCGCGCGCGCGCTCATGCACCTCCTATCACGTAAGTACGGACCGGCCCATTTCTCTTGCCCTTTATTCGTAGTTGCCTGGTGGCGAGCCACCCTGCTCTACGTTCCTCCACCGTGTCTCACTCGCGATCTTTCCGATTGACTGCCCCCCGCACCGTCCGTAACCGCTTCTCGCCCTTCGGATCCCTTTTTTTCACGTCGCTTCGCACGGTTCTACATATACGTCCCTTACGTGATGCACTCTGTTACACCGTTCCAATCCAGAGAGGGGGGGGTAAGTAACACCCGTCGCGGCAAGTAGTACGAGCACGCTTTAACGAAGCGACAGAACGAAAACAGTCCCGTGCAAACCCCGTATTCGCGAAGCGACCGTGCACCACCGTACACACTCGCCTCGCATCAAGCACTAGCACTGATCCAGCAGACCGCTGAGCGCGCATCATACCGCAGAAGAAGCCGGCCGGAATAAGAGCAGAACGCGGAGCGTTACGTTAAGTCCATATGCCCGGCTGGTATGTGCACCGGTTCTCGCCCGGTGCTCTTTGCCGATTGGTGCACTTTTTCCCTACTTCGACCACATCAATATGCATACCAGACCGTTACAAAGCATTCTGATCGATAGAAATTTTCAGGTGTGAAGCGGCCCCCAGGCGTTGTTCGACTGTAATCAGACGTTATTATGTATTTAAGTTAATCCGATTTTGTGTATATTATAGTACAATATGATTTTTTAGAGATTATTATGACGTTTCGAAATAACCAATTTAATAGAAAAATTGAGGTACATCGGAAATCCCGTGTGTTTATACGTCACTGTGATATTATTTCCTGGAAAGTTATATGACGGTTTATGGTTTCTAGACTTTATATTGTGTTACGAAATAAAGAAATTTGTCGTAATTTACCAATTTTTTTAATAACTATAAGGAATATATTATATGTTTAGTGTATTGCTACACATGAACGTTTAAATAGAACTATATGTTGGAATGCATAGATTTTGGTGTAAATTAAGTCACTGCATCGGTCACCTTTTCGAATCTCAATTTTATCGTAATTAACAAGACATAAAGCAAAAACAAATTTCTGTAAAAGAATTTGGACGCGTCTACGCCGTGTGTGCCATCTGGGGAGTATATTTAAAATGTGAAGTTACGCAGCGTCGCTACTGTCCTTATAGAGTTGCAATTGGTGGAAGCCGAGGCTAGGCGACCAGTTCAATTCCAGCAGAAGCGTACGTTGCGTGCATTTGTAACGCGTTGCTTGCGAGAAATCTGTTCGAGGCCTGTTTTTTTTCGTGGAGCATACGTAAATAATTGTTGCACTTGTTTGTATCGGATTACAAAGATGAAGGTAGTACATGTGACCTGTATTCTTTTGGCTACAATAATCTGCAGCATTGCGAGTAGCGTTGGTAAGTAAATATATTCTCCGTTCGTTGTGTTGCTTTCGTCGTCGAATCTGTTAACGTTTCGTGTCGTAAGGACGTCTGACGTGTATGAAATATTTTCTTGTAAGACTTTTTTGAGGTAGCTTATAAGGCTTTTTCTCACACGTGAAAAATAATGGTATGCGTCATACGATGCGGGAAAGTATACGGAACGATATGATAGTTTTCTTTTGTTATGCAGTGACCACGACCATTTGTATTGCATTACACGAGGCAGTCCTTTTCTGTACCGCTTAACGCCTCTAGAAATACATATGTACATTATTTATTTAGTATTTTTATGAATTTTGATAGTATGTTTCGGCTTTTCCATTAGTTACAACGACCTTCAGTACTTTTGTATACTGTTTTACTATTATTGATTTTCCGTGAGTTTCTTGTTCTACAATTACGTTCACAGTAAGATATCTTATAGTTCAGGCAGAAGTATATATGGATGGCTTTAGTCTGCTATAACTTATAGCATTCGGTGTTTTAAACATATGGGTAAATTTAACAATAAGCAATATTACAGAATGATTCCTACTTAAACATTATTATTACTACATTATTATAACTTTATTGCTTCATACCAAGACATATCATTATATATCATTTTTTCATAAATAATAATTATATGGAACACAGGAACTTCAGTAATCTAAAAATTCTAATTTTGTTGAAACTGCATTTTGTAAGGGATCTCATTAGAAGTATCATGTAATTTTTTTCTTTTGTCAGGTTGAAAACACTTTAAATATTAATGTGTTTTCCTATTTTCCTGTATATCTTAAAAACTATAGTAAATATAAAAAATTGTTAGAGTGAAAATAAATGGCTTGTTATGCCTTATAAAATTATGCAATGAGATTGTTCAAAATATGTTTAAATAAATAAACAAATTTTAAAAAAGTTAAATTTTTTGGAAAATTATGTATTGAAGAAGATATCCATGTTTAGTCATTTTAGTCTTTCACAAAGATCATGCGTGTACTATTTTGAAAATACTAATTACCTCTATTAATGATCAATGAAATATTCAATTGTTTGTACAGCTACTCCAATACAAGGAGAGAATAAATCTACCATCCATCAGACAGTGGATGTAACTACTGTACCTCCTCTTCAATCTACAACTATCATAAATCTTGCTGCATCTTCTAATGCTCCTATACCCACTGTTAATACTACAACAGCAGTTAATGTTACCAAAGTAGATACTCATACAACTGCTCCTATTGATGTTGCTAATAAAACTACTGCCAGTAGTAAGATTGAGACAACTACTATTTCCACAACGGTACCAACAACCATAGTAACAACAGCAACAACACCAAAGAAACCGTCAACAACAACTCTGAAACCTACAACTAACAATGTAACTTCATCCACTACCACAAGCAGCGGAACTACTGTTGCACCACCATCTGTTACAACAACAATTCCAGTATCGACGAAAACTCCATCCTATAAGGGACGACATTTTGATGGCCTCAGTTTCTTAGGTAGGCACTGTACATTGACGTTTATATGTTTATTATTTACATTCATATGCATGTAGTTGTTTGCAAAGATAGATTTCTGTTTGAAAGTTATTTGTATAGAATTCTGTTTAGAAGAAATCCATTTACAATTACATTATGCAATTTTCATTTTTTCATAGGTGGAATCATTTTGACCGTATGCTTGATGGCAATTGGTGTAATTTCATGGAAATTCTTTAGAACAATGAGCGAAGGAAACTACCGTACCCTATGATGCTGAGGAGAAAGTCGTCGCAAAGAGTACCATTTTTTGGCAACTTAAACGCAGTTATTCGAACTGAAAATTAAAAATTTTACTATAATATTGCGTATTTTTATAACGCACTTAAGTGTCGCGTGATTTAAGTGCTCTTAGTAATGTGATGTGCAAAAAAGCGAGTTCCGTTTCTTTGTACCCAATTACAAAGACGAGTTACATGTATAACAGTATTGTCTCTCTACAGATTCGCACGCGCATTGTGATAGCAAATGCGATTGCGAGAACGAAAAAGTAATAAATGTGAAAGACCGGAATAGAATGAGAAAGTAGAGAACCTAAGGGCGCGAGAGAGAAAGGTGAGAAAACCTGAATGTTACCATGCGCAAGCGTAGCTAGCGCACGAAGAGATTGACGACCAATCAAAAACACACATTCCATAAAAAAAAAATCAATTCTAAGACACGATGATCTAAATGTTATTTTCCAATAGATTTCGTACAATATAATTTTTGTTTTATTTCATTTACGAATATATATATATACGTATATGTATGTCGTATATAAAAACCAATGATTACATTCTAGTATAAGAATATCAAAATGTACACAGATATAAAGGTTCCTATGTGTATATTCATAGTAGAGGAAAATATTAAAAAGAAAAACTAAAAAATTAATTGGCGTGTTAAGGGTTCTTGGAAATATATAGGGGTATCGCTGGTTGGAGGGGTTTGAAGTAATTGGAATGTTCTAGTTGTATACTATCGTCGTCGGGGATATGATATTTGGTTTTTATTGTCTGGCGATAACGACGCTGCTCCGTGCCGTTCGTAGGAACATGACGTTCGTGTGTATAAAGTATAGTCGCTCCGGTGAACGACTTTATCTTATAATATCGTTGTTTCGAAATTTTCATACGACTCAACAGTGAGATGAAACTTCTGAATCTCGATCTCTGTACCTGTCGGAACACGTAGCTGTCTAATGATTGATAGCAAATTGGAAACTATGTTTTTAAGCATACGGAAATGCGAATATATTGTTTAAAATATTTATCTAGAATGAATAATCGAATAACGTAATTTCATTTGCACTATTGTTTTTTTTCCTGTTTGTTTCTTGAAATAATCACTTCAGAATCAAATTGATTTTCAATATGTTGTTGGTGATAAATATTTTCCGTTAACAAGAAAGAAAAGAGATTACCAACGCGATTACGGATGCGCCGTGATCGTTGCTGATGAAACTGGCTCCTAAAACACCGTCTGTGGATTCCAACGCATTCATGATACGTTCAATGTCCTTCGGTAAATAGTTCAAACACTTACGCGTGCAATGATAGTTCTCCCACAATAGCTTTCCTACAAAATTTCATAAACCATCACTGGAAAATTCTGTATGGGAGATAAAAGACCAATGGCTTTTAGGGGGTGGATGCGCGCGGAACTTCGGAACAGGAAACCTTGGAAACATATTTAAAACGAGAGACACGATTTAATATTACAAAACAAGAAAAAAAAAAAAAAGATACATATGTACCAGATAAAAATGCCTAAATAATATATCATATTTACGTTGGATGTAATATTTTAAGAAGCTATGTAAATTACATGCTTGTACGAATTATGTAACATTAATACTATGCAATGAACAAAAACGAAAAAAATGACAAAACCAGGTTGTGCAACATTTCCCAACTGTTTTAACATCCTACCAAGCTTCTTCCATCGTCTTGTTTTGATCGTTTCTGTCATCTCGGATATTATCTTATCTCCGTTGTCAATATTCGCGGTCAAGGTCATCGTCTCTTCGGGAAACAGACGTTCCATCATCGAACTGCCTTCCGGATCTGTACGCCATCGCGAGGTCGTGTTTCTGATAATAGTGATCTCTGTCTGTCTTGTCGCGTCTGAACGATACTTCAATGACTTTTCAATCGCGAATGTGGGACGCGTGATAAGAATCATTTCGGTGTCGAACGTTTCCCAGTCGTATTCGTCGACGGTCAGAGATCGTGAGTCGAAGCTGATTATCTTGTCCTCCTCGCCGACGATGGAAATCAACGAATCGACGACACAATGGTTGCGAGATCCTGAGGCCAGTTTCTTCGCCAAGTGACACGCCAGCGTTTTCTCGAGAATGTTCGCCGTCTGCATTTTCGTAATTGCCTCGAGAAACGTGTATAACGCAACGACCAGGGCGGAGCTGCTCCCGAGACCAGATCTTTCCGGCACAGTGGAAACGATCACGATTTCAAATCCCGGAACATGCACTGTCGACAACGCTTATTTATTTCATTTGTTTACCAAAATTATTATTTCGATACACTAAACACCAATGTGAAATGTGTACATGTTGTTTTTGGTGTTATCGTATTGCGTACACGGATGTCCTATTTTAAACATTTTATAGTAACCCATTCTATCAGTCACATCTCGAAAGCACTTTTGAAACATTATTTTGCGTGTTCGTCAACAGTTTGAAAATGTAGTGTTTTTTTTTTATTATCGGGAAATAGGATCTTAAGAAATAAAATCTCGGCCTCAGAGCTTTACGTAAACGGTGCACATATTTTTATTTATTTTCATTGCAGATGGACTATTTACTTGTAGATATTCTTTGTAAAAAAAGGAAAGCCCAAACCAGACCTGGGCAAATTTGATTCGAAATGAAAATAAGAAATAACTATTTGAAATAATTTATTTTGTAATTTTATTTTCAATACTGTTATTTGAAAATAAAAATACTATAGATTCATTTGAAATAATAGTAATTTCAAATAATTAATTATTTTGTTATTTTTGTATTTAAAATTTGACAAAAGAAATAGTACGTAAAATAATATGTAACAAAAAGATTTTATTTTAAGAAACCTTTATATGCAGTGGTTTGCTTTAAACAGAACCCGTTCTTGAAAAAACTCATCCGTGATAGATTTTTGCTTGGATCCATCTAATATTGTTGCGAAAGGAAATAATCGTTTCACTGGTGCGGAAGATAGAAGAGGGGCGTTATTCTGCAGAAGAATGTCAATAAACTAAACTCAAATGTAGTCACCTGATATAATGTCGAAGAACAATTTCACAATTATATCTAAGAATTATTTCAAATGATTAGAAAATAAAATAACATATTATTTAAAATGACATTTCAAATAATGTCATTTCAGACGTGATTGCAGGCATGGAAATAATTATGAAATAAAATAACATGTTACTTGAAATAATATTTTAAATGGTATTATTTCAAAAGTGCCCAGGACTGACCGAAACGTACAAATACAATGACCAAGTGTTGCAGTGTGAGATTATAACATGCACGGTATGCTTTGCATACTTTCTCACACGAATCCCTTGTGGTCTTTTCATACATATTGCTCGAGTATTCTGCGTAATCTATAATTATAATTGTATACGAATTCATCATTCGCCGCGTGCCTCGCTCTGTGTATTGTGGCGTGACGTGAAATGTTTATCGGTTTGTTTTGCTTAACGTGTTATTACGTTTCCGCGTGCTTATACCGATAACTACGTATCATATGAATTACGGCAAAAATAATTTAAACATGGACAATACCAATCGTTAAATATACCTTGTTCTTTTTAGCTCATTGATGTTCTTCTGAAATTCCACATAATTGGTAATTATTAGCAATTATTCGGAACCGTTAATACTAACTGGATGAGTTATATACCTCTCTTCGCCTTGAAACATTGCACCGTTGCCTTCATGTACCGAATGCACCACGAGTCCTCCACGGATATTCGGAGATTTTCATCGTTCGCGTAAAATCTGAACACATCCTTCTTGGTGGATTGATTCGAGGTCGTTTTAACGTGACACCATTTGTTGTTCCGGCTCCGTTTCCCAACTATCAATGTGACAAGTTGTACGGCCTGTTTTATTTCAACAGAAGATAAACGAAGACAAACGTGCGCGCGTCCCTGCATACGTTTTCGTTACTTTTTATGTGCTACGGTCGTGGAAAGTGCGTGTTCAATGATTATGGGGACAGGAGGAGGATTTACGATAAACACTGTACACCAATGGTTTCTATCGTTCTGGCCATTGGCTGACCAAGCACCCAGCTATAGTCATTGGAGTATCGTGATTGCTGGGGAACACATTGGTATAACTACGGTGACTGTATATTATTTAACATTAGAACTACGGACGATCAATACTATCTGTTTCTATTAGAGATACATTAATTAACTACCCAGTCAGGCAAACCTGCAAAGCCAAATTTTGTTCAACGCCTGTTATAAGGTTATGGCTACAAGTTTGATGCAAGATTTGCTATAAACAATTTACGCGCACACTGGCAGCAACATAGGCAACAAATTGGCATCAACATATGCAGCAAATTGGCTTGCGCAAACCTTGTACCGGTTTTGCCCTCAATTTGACATACGTCATGTTGCAAGATTTTTTGCCAACTTGCTTTACCATTTTGTCAGCTCGCATTGTCTGCAAAGCCCAAGTCAAACGCGGAAACAGATGGCTATAGTTTTTTAGACAACTTTTGTCATTTATTGCTGACAATTTGCGCGAAACTTGTACATAACTGATTATCAGGGTAATTAATTATAACAAGTTAAGTCATTTCTTCGATTACTTATTGCACTGAAGAATCAGTCAAAATATTAGAAAATGCAGTGTTATTGCTGACAAGTTTTACAGAAAATTTCTAAGCAGTCATTTCGACTTTTTTTGATAGTTCTAGCGTTAAACCGAAAATTACTAAAATGTCTTCCGATGTCTATTGGAGTCAAGAGAGTGTCAATCAGATATACCCAAAATGGGCAATCTTTTGGTGACAACAAAGTTCATTGGTAAGAACCCTCTATAAGTAATACGAGTCGTTGACGATCCAACTAAATTCCTATTTTTCCGACTTTCCCACGAATTTTTATTTTCCCTGAAAAAAAGTGTTAAACATTTCTGTTCACAAACGGTTGTATAATCTAGCAGAGACTTCGATAAATATACCGGAATCTTTACAGATTTTGTTGAAAGCCTGAAACAGTAAAAAAGAATTAGGTTTGGACATAAACGACTCAATTTGCCTATAGAGTCTGAAAAAATATACTTCCTTACAGAGGATTAATTAAGGATATAGTTGTTGCATCGATTTAAATCCTCGTAATATTTACAGAATTTTTCAAATGATTTTCAGTTGCACGACTTTTACAGTTAGGGTGTATCAGACGAATTTGCACGTACCATGGACAACGATTTACTTTCCACCAGATTGGTACACTTTCCGGCTATAGTGAGACAACCAGGAGCGTATACAGCGCAGGTAGGGAATGCACCGTAATTTTTAATGAATTCCTGCTCGGCGAAAGTCAGTAGATCACCGACACTGGGTACCTTTTGTATCTCGTCCGTTGCCTCATCTTCGAGATACGGTTTCACCAGTTTGTAATAATCCCTCAGGAATCGCGTTTGACGAACCTTCGGGACGGATTTTAAAACGAGACCCACCGTTATAAAGTGGTTGCGTGATCTGTTAAAATTCGTTACAGACGATTCTCGCGAGAATCTTTCCCGGAACAATGCGACGCGTGATTTCTCACGGAGCAACACGCTCGGGCCCGAAGTGGGTGCACCGACGGTGGAAACGGAAGTTTTATTCTGATTTTTCTATCTCGAGAAACAATGGGACCTCTTACTTTATTGTTCGATAAATTGCCCACCGTGGAAGCGGCACACGCTGCACGGATATTACGGGATTTATTGTTCATACTGGAGGAAAAAAAAAACTCATCTGACCGAGGGATCCGTGTGTTCGAGTAAACGGACTGTTTAATTTGACACTTCCGTGACGTTTGGCCGAGACGGAAAAACAAAACGAGCCGAAAAGCTGCTCGCACTCGATCTTTCAGTTTTCCTTTCTTCGTTTGTCCGGCCGATTTAAATATGAAACGAGACGTGATATTGTATCTTGTAATTGATATACAGGGTGGTGAAAAAAAGAGACTTCCAAACTTTAAGAGTAGATTGTATTCGTCAAATGAAAGAAAAAAGTTGTGATGAACGTATGTCGAAAAATTAACCATTTAATTACAGACTCGTTTTAGAAATGAATAATCCGATGATAACTACTTTGTTAACACTTTTAATGACCAACTGAATGGTATTTCTTGTCACCGTTTATGGAAATAGTGTGTCGGTTACTGTGAATTGAAGGTATTCGAACGCTAGAACCTCTAATATTCTCTACTAGGTTGTAATAGTGAGACAAAAAATTCAGACTCGTCTCTGAGGTGAGTGGGCTGTAGTTAAGTTGTTCGCTTTAAGAGGTTACGTACCTTTGTGCTGTACAATAAGAGGGAAAAGTAGAAACTTTTTTGTATGTATGCAGAATTATTGTTTATTAAAATCTTATTATATGTTGTTTCCTTGGTAATTTCTGAAAAATCGATCTATATCAACAGACGAAAATGGCTGCCATTTAATTATAACCAGTTTCATCAAAACACCATCTACGGTATCAGATGTATCTTTGTGGTCTTTTATCTGAAAAAAGTTCTTTAAATTTTATATTAATGTAGATAAAAGAAACTAGTACTTACCGAAGCCGATTTTGAAAATATCAATATTTTACAAAATGGCGGCTGTTTGAAATTTAACTTGTAGTTTCCGACATAAATTTTCAAATTCTCTTGTTACTAAAAAAAAAGAAAAAAAATGCAGGAATGAAAAATTCACTTTGTCAAGTACTAGATTTTAGGCTTAAAAAAATTACTACGAAGTTTGATCTCAATTGGTCTATTAGTCTTTTAAATATTTCTGGTACCGATTTTGAAAACTTCATTTCGAGTAAAATGCTTTTAAATGGCAGGCATTTTTTTGTATTAATAGATATATAGTTCATTTTTTCAGAAATTACTAAGGAAATAACATACATATAATAAGATGTATATGTTGAACTTTTAATAAACAATAAGTCTGCATATACAAAAAAATGTTTTAATTTTTCCTCGTATTTAACAGCTCAAAGGTATGTAACCCCTTCACTGAAATGAAAAATTGTTCATAGCTTTGAAAACAATCATTTATTGACCCATGTTTATCAGGATTTTTTTTCTCTGTTTGGCGAGTACCATCTACTTTTAAAGTTTTAATACTGTTTTCCTTATCACCCTCTATTGTTTGTTATTCGTGTCCGTAAAAATCAAACCAAGTCAGCTTTTTTCCATGTCACGAGTTATCGCGACGAAATGTTATATTTGCGCATCGAATTGTTGTGTAAACGTGCAAGAGATAAGGCAAGGGAAACGTTAACACAGCGAAATAATCGGCATATGAAAGCTGTGCACTTTTTACGAAGGTTGGATCGTATTTATATTTAATAACGTAACTTTCACGCCACTTTGACTGATGTAATTACCATGTTCTTTTGTTGTTATTTATAGGTATACGAAATATTGTAGAGAAGTTTTTTTTATACGCAGATATAAATAAAATGAAGTGTTCAAGTTCATATTGTTTATCGATTACACTCTTACGTTTTATATTTATACTTTGAACGTTATTTATATTATATATGTTTTGTTACTTTTATTGACGTACATGGTATTAGTTTATTAATATATTAATTATGGTATTAGTATATTAATTATATGTATCTGGTTTGGATAAATAATTCCTTAAGCAATAAATATTTCCTGAAGTATTTGTATACAAAACCAGTGTTAAATATTTATCTTTTGACGATAACAATAATAACTGTAAATGTGTCCAGTACAGTTTGAATGCAAAAGAAGACGATTCTATTCTTTATTTCGAATATTAAATCATTCTCGACTAGGGTACGAATAAGTTTGTATTAGGTCGGTGCATAAAGAATGTCATTTTTCCAAAGTTCGAATTTCCGGGGGAGAATTTTCATGTGCATCAACCCTAATACATTAGGATCACTTCTCTCTGTAATAGGGGTGGTCTATTTAAATAAGGCCACCTACATATATCTTCCACTTGTGGTAGTACAAACAAATATTTTATATGCAACTTGTATGGTATCAAAGAATCAATATGTTGCAAGTATATTTTTAGTTCAAGGTCATTTGTTTGAGTTCTCAAGGTCATTAATTCAAGGAGTCAGAATTTTCGAGGTATAATAATTGCATGCAATAAAATTTAAATATTTCCATTGGTTGGAAGTGGACATCAGTTTGAAAAAGGGCAATACACTGCGTGTTTCTAGGGGACGTGAAACGGCGTTTGCTGGTTGGCGGGTGTGTTCATTTTCGAAAATTAACTGCCAGCGTACGGGCGCCAGGACTGGAAACATAAAACTGTTCGAAAACAGCAATATCCTTTTAACCAAGCGATGCTTGTGTTCATGGCGATAGTATAACGGTAATTGCTGGGCTATCGACACGGAACAACCATACGCGGCATGTGGTTATCCGTGCAGTACGATAATAAGTCGTATGTCACGAACGTTTACGTAATTATCACAGCGCGCGGTTTTGAGCTCGCCTGACGATACGAGAATTATGCGAACTGTATCGAAATTAATCTGAGAACAAAAAAAACATTGCTTATATACAAAGAAAACGATGAATTGATATTTCCTTTCTTCTTAATGTAATACCCATATGGTCACTATAGCGAGGCAAGAGATAATGATTGAACAAAAGACTGTTACGAAGACTAGTCTTTTTTCATTATTTTGTAGTGTTATTATTTGAGTTTTCACTGTATTGTTTAACACTATAACCACCAACGATAAACGTATATCTACTTCTATCTGATCATCAAATATTTGAAAATACTCATTTTTATCAATCAACTAATTTCTTTATTTTTACACTGCAATAAAAGTTGTAAAAGATCTCGAAAAATGTATTATTGTGTCAGTTTAATCGTCGTTATAAAAGTGTACTAATCGGTTTTTTTGACTGAATTGGTAGTTCGAGGGTTGATAGTGTACAAT